ACCACCCCAGTCAAGGAACATTCTGATGAAATAGTCTCCTTTAGGCCTGTGAATTCCTTGTTGCTTGTTTTGTTGAGGCTTAAGTAATATTTTTTAACAAATGTCTACTTCTGGAAAAACTCGGTTCTTATAATCATCACTGCTTGCTACTGTGTGTATTTTCTACTAGACCGATGCCCAAACCATGCCCTCGCTCCACCTGTGCTGTAGCCTTTCCTAAATCCAGAATAACAAAATGACCGAGGTGTCCTTTACCCGCAGAGGCTCCTGCAGTTTCCAGAAGCTGCCGGGCGACACCAAAGATTTCCTCCTCCGTTTTATAAAAAGAGGGGTGATCCGAATAATTGGGTATTTTTTAAATTCTCTCTACATATTTTTTTGTTATTTGTTTGTTTAGTCCTCACCTGAGGATATTTTTCCACTGATTTTTTAGAGAGAGTGGAAGAGAGAGGGAAAGACAGAGAGAAATATTGGTGAGAGAAACACATCGATTGGTTGCCTCCTGCACAAGCCCCAACCAGGGCCTGGCCCAGGGAGGAGTCTGCAATCGAGGCAGGTGCCCTTGACCAGAATCGAACCTGGGACCCTTTGGTCCACAGGCCAATGCTCTATCCACTGAGCCAAACTTGCTAGGGCCATTCTACATATTTTTAATCAGCAGAACACTAGAGCGAGAGCTAGCCTGTTCCTAGCACGAGAAAGTTGGCAAAGCAAATGAGGAGAAGCTCAAGCTCCCTGAGTTAACTTTATGAATATCTGTAATTATATGTAACGTATATAAATATAATAGTAATATAATCATAGATAACATGTAATCATACAGAATATAATTATGTGTGCCCTATAATTACATATAATATAAACATACTGAGGCCCAGTGCACGGATTCGTGCACCGGTGGGGTCCCTCAGCCTGGCCTGCACCCTCTCACAATCTGGGACCCCTCAGGTGATGTCGGACTGCCGGTTTCGGCCCGATCCCCGCATGCCAGGCCAAGGGACCCCACCGGTGCACAAATCCATGCACTGGGCCTCTAGTATGCATATAAGATCTTTGGTTAATCTCTTCCTGCCCTCCCCTCCTCCCCCCTTCCCTCTGAGATTCATCAGTCTGTTCCATGTTTCCATGCCTGTGCGTTGAGCATCTGCCCCCTGGTGGTCAGTGCGCATCATAGCTACTGGTTGAACAGTCGCTTAGGCTTTTATATATAGAGATTCACCATATAATTATATATATTTATATATTTATGTTTTTTAAGATGGAGGGAAAAAACCACGTACAGAGACTTGCACAATAAGTATCCACAGATTTTTTTTTAGCTTTAACTATACTTATCAATTAGTGCCAATCATAACATGTGCTTTATGAGATAAATTAGAAGGCCCTGAAGATTGGTCCATGCCCTTACTGCCTGTGTTTTTAATCTGAAAAATGGACCGTGATTATACCTTAACCGAGGGCTCCATTTTCCTCCGTTCTGATGTTGTTCACTATTATACCCAACAGACCAGGGGGACTTAGTCTTGTCCACCAGTCAGATTACCCCTCACACTTGCCTGAAGGCCCCTGCTTCAAACTGCAGGTCAGAAATTGAGTCTGGAAGAAGCATCCAGAGACGACGGCCTCAGAAGAGGACCGTGCCAGCCACACTTGGCTCTTTATACTTCAGGGAATGGACAATGGCACCGGCGTCCAAGCTGATGCCATCACTGTGACCGGACACTGCCCAGGGCCAAGGCAGGGTCCACGAGTCTTTAGTCCAGAAGCAAACGACTTTGCAAAGTGAACTAACTACCCAAGATCAGCAGAACAGGAACACGGCCCAGCACTGGATGGGAGTGATTTAATTCTAGTTAATGTTATTTCCTAACGGGCATGTGAGAAAACCCTCTTTTGCTTTGATTTCTCTCTACTCCTCAATTTAGGAGGCCATATCTGTACAAATGAGAATAAAATATTCCTTAAAGGGTGCCTCGTTCCAACTAACCCTTCAGAATTCTGGAGGGAAAACACTATAAAAATTTAACATAGATATAAACCAATGAATGATCAGGGAAATTTAAAAATAATAGTTCTATTGAAAACCATACAGGTCATTGGCCTTGTCGACAACACTCAGAACAAGTACTAGAAAGCAGTCCACGTGCCGTTACTGGGACCCTTCTCTTCCTGAGATCATCGCCGGCTCCGTAAGCAGGTTCAATAAGAATCTGTCCTCCTTCCTCATAGGACTCAATTGGGTAAATCAAATTTGTAAGCATGACCATGCCAGAAATGTCACGTTTAAGGACAAATGTCATTTAATTGGGCATGACAAGCCTGACAGTCAGAAGCGAGGACTGGACTTCACCGACTGAAAGCCCTCTTGCTGCGCCTTCATCTGCCCTCGGTCTCTGTGACTCAGCTTCTTCCGAGTGCAAAGCCTCCGCCAGCCGCATCCGGCCAGGCAGAGACTGCTGGGCACACTGCCCCCCCCCCCCCCCCCCAGGAAACCGGACTGGCCCTGCTCCGCGGCAGACCCCAGGGAGCTGCGTCCTGAAGGTTGTAGAAAGAGTCATTCCTGCCGGCCCAGAAAAGTGACCAACTTGGGGATTCTCCAAAAAGATGGTACCTACTGTTCCAGGTTATAGAGGCAAACCTGACAGGGGTGAAGCGGCTGGTTCTAGGTTCCCGATCTTAGATAATAAGAAAACTTTGTAACTTCACAGTCTCCTGACAGAAGTCAACTCTCAAACCTTAGCGTCACATGCTCTAATTTTAACAAGCATGCAAACAGCGGGGCTTGATTACATACAGTTCTCTGTACATAAAACTGGCCAAACCTTGAAAAAAAATCAAAGTAATGACAAAAACCAGAGAATTGCTGAAGCAAACTTAGGGGCCAAATCTACGGCAGGGGGGGCATGAGAACGGGAAAGGCGGACTGACCTCTTGTCCTGTGGCCGTTCTGCCATGTGTTTGTTATCCTACCTACACATCACGCCCCCAAGTCTGAGCGACACAGACAAAGCCTGGTGCACCCTGATAGAGCACCCCGAGAATGGAGAGAAATGAACACAGAAGGACAACAAAACAAGTCAGACATCGGGTCCCTCTGTCTAGCATTCGTCCCCAAAACAGTGAAGACCTTGAGCGCTTTCTGTGAGATACCAACTCCGCGGCAAAAACAATTTTATCCCTGAGGCGCAAGGCGGATACTGGCAAACACAGCAGTGTTACCGATCTCACCGCCCTGGAGAAAAGGGCTGTGTTTCTCCCCTCGGAGGAGATGAACTGCCATCTTGAAAACCCTGAGTTTGTTTCTTCAAATTTCCATGGTATTTTTATTTGGCCAGCCAGTCTCTTTGATGTCTGTCCTCCCCTGCAAAAACATTTCTTTCCTTAAAGCATGTTTCTCTTAGAATCTCCCTTTCACACACTGGACTGGAAGGTAAGCCCATGAGGGCAGGGATTTTTGTCTGTTTTGTTCATTGTCGTATTCCCAGCACCTAGAATCATTTCTGGCTAATAGAAGAGGTTCTGTAATTATTTAAATGGCCCCATAAAAGCTAGTTCTAGTTATTTCACAAATATTAAACAAATGCTTAGATGCTTGTGGCACACACTGGGGGGTGTGGAAATGGAGACCAAACCCTGGCCTTCAGGAACTCCCAAAATATTGGGGATGATGAGCAAATAGCCAGGCAAGTACAAGACAGCCTCCCATTGCTGTGATGGGGAGGCCCAGGGCCTGTGGAACCAGCTCAGGGGGGCCCAGGAGGACTTCCCGGAGGAAGTGGACTGAGAGATGGATAGGACAGGGCCAGAGAAACAGGGTAAAGGAGGGGAGGGTGTTTCAGGGGAAGGACACAGCATGTGCAAAGACCTGCAGATGAGAAAGGATGGGAAGGATGGCGTAGGAGTGTGAGCTGATGCCAGTGAGGTCCACGTAGGCCATATCATAAAAGGCCTCCCTCGAATACCAAGCAAAGGAATTTGGTCTTGATCCTGGAGGCAGGGGCACCTAGAGAAGGTCCTTGCCCCAGGTCCACGCATGGGCACAGGTGCCGAGCTGAAACGGCTGCAGGCGGGCAGCAGCAGCAGGCCACTCACCTGGTGTGCTGCTGGAGGTGGGAGAGCTGTCGGAAGGACTTATCACAGTAGGAGCAGTGGTAGGGCTTGACGCCCAGGTGGATGCGCAGGTGCTGGGCCAGGTAGGAGGCGTTGGCAAAGGACTTGGAGCAGTGCGGGCACTTGTGGGGCTTGGCCTCTGTGTGCGACTTGGAGTGGATCTGCATCTCGGACTTGGTGAAGAAGGTCAGCGGGCATACCTTACACCTGTGGGGCAAGAGGCAGGTTCGCACCCGGGAAGACGCCCGCACCCCCTGCCTGTACAGCTCAGGGAGACCTTCTGCATGAGCGTGCACCTGGGACTGAGCTTTCCTGTGAGGCGTCTGGGGCACAGGCCCACCTGGGAGAGGTGGGAGGCAGGCTCGGGCCTGGACAACCTCCAATCTGGAGGAGAAAGCTCTTCCGTCTGGGCGCCCCTTTCCAGCAGCCTGGGCAGCAGGCTCACCCCTCACGGGGAGGAGAGGTCCAGAGCCACACCCACAGTTCTGGGGGAGCGCTCAACCGACTGCACTTTAGAATCACTGCGGGAGCTTTCAAGAAAGACTGACACCTGGTCCCCCCAACAAATTAAATTAGAATTTTTAGAAGTGAGGCCCTGGTTTGGGCCCAGTGATTCTAACGTTCAGGGTGGAAGGGAGGAGGAAACAGACTCCCATGACCCAGGCTGTGTGCCCCGCACTCATTGCCTCTGAAAGGATGTGGGTGCAGTGGACTTAGCCCCCCTCAGCCCCTGGGGTCCCTCTCTCCAGCCCCCATTGCTGTGCTCCTGGGGACAGCCCTCCGCCAGAGCCTCTGCCCCAAGCCCACCTGGACCCCCTCCAGCCGAAACCCCCACCTGTATGTCTTGCCCTCCTTGGCAGTCTCGCCCGAGGCCAGGATGGGGTAGGGGACTACCAGGACAGGCGGGCCCCCTGGGTTCTCCGCCTTGATCTTTTTGCGGCCTCGCTCGGACTTGGGGGGGCCCAGCAGGCCATGGCCCTGGATTGTCTTGATGGAGTCCAGGAGGGGGGGGCTGGTGATCCCTGAGATGAGGGTGGGGGACGAGGCGATGAGGCGGCTCTGGCTGGTGGTGGTGGGTGTGGACGGGGTGCTGGTGCCCGTGCCCGCGCTGGACTCTGATGTGCTCACAGCCGGGGTCCGGGAGGAGAGCCCTAGACCTGCGAAGACACGGGGGTGGGGGCAGGGGTGAGGGGCAGCTGCAGAGGCCAGCTCAGCCCTGGCCACCCAGCTGTGTGACTGGCAGGTCACTCGCCTCTTTGAGCCTCCCCTTCCCTTTGTAAATTATTGTCCAGGAGTAACTAAATGAGCTTGTGTATGTGTAAGATGCCTTAGATACCTAAGAACTAAAATGAGTTAGATAAAAGGCACTTGGGAATCATTCAAACCACAGGGGAAAAAAACCTGAGACACACGACTGTGTTAGTTATAATAATAAAAATTAGAGGCAACTGAAATATGTAACATTAGGGAAGGAAGGATTCGATGAATTTTGATCAATCTCCTCTACTGAACATAACTGCCATTAAAAAGGTTTTATTTGCTTAAAAATGTTTAATCTATTGATTGATTTGAGAGAGAGAGAGAGAGAGATATCAATTTGTTGTTCCACTTATTTATTCATTCATTGGTTGATCCTTGTATGTGCCCTGACTGGGGATCAAACCCACAACGCTCTAACCAACTAAGCTACCCAGCCGGGGCCAAAAAATAAAAAAAATAAAAAAATGTTAAAGGCATATGTATGCATAGGAAAAGTAAGAGGAGATATACCAAAATGTGATGTGGATGGTAGAATTAAAAGTAATTTTAAAAATTTTGGGGGGGTTTAACTATACTTTCTGACTCTTAGACAATAAACTTTTTTTTTTTACTTCTATAATAAAAGTTACTCTTTTTAAAATGAGGGGACCAGAGCCCTGGCCGGTTTGGCTCAGTGGATGGAGCGTCGGCCTGCGGACTGAAGGTCCCTGGTTTGATTCTGGTCCAGGGCACATGCCTGGGTTGCAGGCTCATTCCCTCATAGGGGGTGTGCAAGAGGCAGCCCATCAATGATTCTCTCTCATCATTGATGTTTCTATCTCTCTCCCTCGCCCTTCCTCTCTGAAATCAACAAAAATATATTTAAAAAATAAAAATAAAATAAAATGAAGGGACCAGAAACATTTACAATAACAGATTAAGTAGACAAAACGATGAAAATGGTATCATGTGGTGAAACTACGCTTTTTTTTTTATCTTTTTGTGCACTGAAAGAGAGAATATCCAGCACCAGCACAAGCATGTTGCAGGCACACATGCAGCTGGAGTGTGCACTTAAAATGTTAAATGTACGTAACTTTTGACCAAGCAATTCTACTTCTAGAAATCGCCCTAAAGAAATATTTGCACATGAACACAAAGGCTGTATGCACGGACCTTCCGTACAAAACTGTGGTTGGACAAACTGGACACGAGCTGTTTGTCCTCAGTAGGGATTGCATGAAGAGATACGTCCACCCTCATTGTGGAGGACTGGGAGCCCCGACAACAAGACAGGTGTCGCCCAGTGACACAGCGAGAAGGCCAAAATGTGCAGACAGTACGAGCCCCTCTATTTTAAAACACACACCCGAACTACATATGTATTATACAGTGACAACATGTGTGTGTGAGTGCACGGGAATGCATGTGAGAAGAGACACGCCAAACTAAATTGTGTGTAAATTGTGGTGCTCTCCAGGGAGAAAGAATGTATTGGTAAAAGGAGAGCTTCATACTTTGTCTATTTACTTATATATTACTTGAATTTTTCACCTGGTGAATTCCTCCATTTTTTACGTCTGTGATTAAAGGATAAAATAAAATAAGTTATAGAGAAAACAATGAAATGCTAACAATAACGGGACTAGGACTTTTCCTCCTTTTAGTTTATCTTCAATTTCTAAACTACGCATTACCTTTATAATAAAAAAATGCACTAAATACTAGCGTGTCCCCCCAAAATGTACACACTTTGAATGATTATTAATTCCAATGGTTAAATCTGAAAAGAAAGAAACATCAGTTGAGCTATCAGCTGTTAGTGTATATGGTTTTTAGGGACACCCTGTATGTTTATGATAGAATGGCAAGTAGGAAAGCAAGTTAAAACCATGGGTACAGCCCTCCCACAAGCTCAGCAAAACACACACGCACATTAAAAAGCAAACAAAAAGATGAAAAAGGGAGGAAACAGACCAAAAGGCTCTCCAAGCTGCTGGGTTAGGAGCTAGGGGATTTTGAGTGCTTTTTTCCTTAGTTTCTCTGTTTTCCAAATTTCCCTTAATATGCTTATATTACTTTTTTAATATTACTTTTATAATGAAAAAATAAATTTAATAAAATCATCATAACAGAGAATGTGCAGAGTGTGGCTGGGGCCTGGGGGAGGCTCACGGGCCCAATAACTCCTGGGTGTCTCTGGAAGGAGGAGGGAGAAGGGAAGAGAGGCAGGGGTGCCTGGCTGGTGGCAGGGGTGAGCCAGGGGAAGAACAAAGGCCCAGCCACAGTGGCCGCCAGAGAAAACCCGTCTGCCAGGCACCCCCAGCCCTGTGACACTGCACCAGGATGTCCCCCTGGCACCCTACCCAAGACTGAGCTCATGACCTCCCTCCCCCTCCTCCTGTGGTTCCATCTCATGGGCAGTGCCTGGGAGTCTCCCTCTTCCCACTCCTCACTCCTACATCCAATCTAGCAACCAGTCCTGTCTATTCTTCTCAACATAACTCAGACCTGTCCTCTTCTCTCAGTCCCCACCGCCTTCCCAGGGCCCCACCATCCTCTCCTGCATGACTCTCCGTCTCCATGCTTGTCTCCCACCAAGCCAGTTTCCACTGCAGCCAGACCCAGCTTTCTAACCCAAATCGGAGCACTTCCCTCTCCTACTTAAAATCCTTCCATGGCTCCCCACTGCCTGAGGCTCCGCACTGCATAGCATGGCCCTCAGGCCCCTCACAATCTGCTTCCCCTTCCTCTCTAGCCTCAGCAGAACCAGGATGAGCACAAGGATTAGCACATGGGCTCTGGAACCTCACTGCCTGCCTCTGCCTCTTCCTCCTGACTGTGAAACTGGGCCTCAGTTTCCTCACCTGTCGAATGGGGACATTAAAGTGAATGCACAAAACTGCTGGTTTTTGTAAGTCAAAAACAGTCCAGTGTTCAACCTAATACTAACAGTACCCACCTCACAGGACTGCTGGGAGTGATAAAGTGAGTACCAGTGAACATACGCTGGTGCTCAGCTGGAATTAGCTGCCATAGTGAGATCATCATCACCATCATCTTCTGGCCTACTCCTGCTTTCTACACATGCTCGCTTTGCACATGCTGTTCCCTCTGGCTGCTCCATTCCCTAGTTAACTGCCAACCTTTCCTTGCATATCCGCTCCTCCCAGGAAATCTCCACCCCCACCACCTGCCCCTCCAACCTGCCCCGGGTCTGGTCAGGGTTCCTCTCTGGATTAACCTCATGAGCCCCTGGTGGGCCCTCGTCCTGTCGATTTAGTGGGGTAGGTCCTCCCAGCAGGATCAGAGGAAATCTGGTAGCTGTACCCATTCTGCCCTCACCTGGCCGGGCCACCCTCGCCACGCCCCTAGCCCCTCCCCCACCA